ATGAGGGGAAGAATGGGAAACAAAGCCCATTTTGGGCTTTTATAGTTCATTCTAAATGACGCCATTCGGTGGGTAGAGGGTTTCAGCGTGTTTTTATAAAAGGGTTAATCTCAGCTTTAGTCCTTACTTCTTTGTAAACTCATACCCGTGTCTTGGACTTTAGGGGTTAATGTTATATTTGGTCCCTGTAGCCTTGAAATATAACATGTGTATTCTATTTTTTTGGGGATAATTCGTTTTTTGGTCCCTTCGTTTTGTAAATCCTTACATTTCAGTTATGAATGAAAAGTTAATCCATTTTATTTCGATCTATTTACTTCTGGTTTAGTGTATTTTTGTCCCTATTTAGTTAGTTATATATCTTTGATGTTTTTTTATTTGGTTATTTATTTTTAGGGTAAAGTATAGTAATGGCCACTGAACATTTCTGAAGCTTGCATTTAGGTCCCCCAACTTTTAAAACTTTCAATACAGTCCCCCAATATTTATTCCGTTTGCAATATGGTCCCCCAACTTAAATCACTGTTAGAAAATTAGGTTAAATTATATAAACGGTCATTGAACTTTTCAGGCACTTGAATTTAGGTCCCCAACTTTTAAAACTTGCAAAACAGTCCCCCAATAATTTTATTTTCTTATTAAATATAGATGTATAGAAAATATAAATGATTCAATTTATATTTAAATGTATGAATCATTTATATTTTTGATATATTTTATTTTTCTTGTATAAACTAGTATTTAAAATATGTTTATATTTTAATCAAAATATTTCAATATACGAATAAAAATATATTTATATAAATGTATATTTATATTTAGATGTATAAATAAAAAAATATTCATATATTAATGTATGAATCATTTATATTTTTTGAATATTTTATTTTTAATAAGAAATTAAAATTATTAATTATATTAGAAATACTCAACTTAAGATTATATATATAATGAATTATAAATATGAAAATATAATTATTAAATTTAGTTTAAAAATATATAAATCTTAAATTTATTCTTTTAAAATATTGTATCAACTAATATTTAAAAACTATATTAAATCTATCAAACAATTTATCAAATATAATATTTTTTATTGTAAAAAAATATAATATTTTCCCATCATTTATTGCTTTCAAATTTTTTGCCGAAGTTCAAATCTCATTATTTCCATTTTCCATTATATTCTTTTTTTTCTGGCATTGGTCATACTATTAGTATATGTATTATTGTATATCTCTTAACACAAACGATGTTGTTAGCTTAGTGGCTCCACCCTGTATCTTTCATTTGCGTGACTCAGGTTTGAGTTTGCCCAAGACCCAAATTTTACTTTTTTGTAACTTAATTTTCTTCTAATTAGGTGGTGACATGTGTCACCAATAACATATATCATGATCATGTGTTAACACATGTCAGATCCTGGTTAAATGATTAATTTATTAAATTTTATTTAATTTAGGACCAAATTGATAGCATATATAAATAACTAGGTGGTGACATGTGTCACCAATGACACGTGTCATGATCATGTGCTAACACATGTCAGATCCTAATTAAATGATTAGTTTATTAAATTCTATTTAATTTAGGACCAAATTGATTATATAAATAATAAAGACTGAATGTATAATAATGTCAATTCCTTTTAACTGCCACTTCATCATTTGTATCAATTGGTAATGACTAGTGGCTTAGTTGAAACAGTTAAATAATTATGTGGTATGATTGATAAATTTAAAAGATCGATGACAAAAGTAAAAAGGGCTAGATAGTTAAGTTGTCAACCTAGTAGTTTACACTTTTATTTATACGTCAAAATAACATTTTATAAATTTAAAATTCGAATTATTTTCAACCTCTTCTATATCCTAACTATTTTTTTAATTAAAAAATTTCTTCAACAAATAAGAATTATACTATTATATTTATATAAAAAATACGTATCACATGAAATAAGATGAAATTAAATAATAATAAATCTGACATAATTGAATTTAATTGAATTATTTTAAAATTTAGGGTTTAGAATGAAATTGAATTACTTTGGAAATTGGGGTTTAAAATGAAATTGAGGACTGTTTTGCAAGTTTTAAAAGTTGAGGGACCTAAATTCAAATGTCTGAAAAGTTCAATAACCTTTTATATAATTTACCCTAATTTCTAACGGTGGTTTAAGTTGGGGGACCATATTGCAAACGTAATTATTTTTATTTGCTTTCATTTTAGTCTCCAGTTTGTTTTATCTCATTGATCTGTTAATATTTTTTGATTTGGATATCTAATATGTAGAATGTTCATTTTAGTCAATCCTTAGGTTTTTTTACAAGATCAGTCACTCCACGTTTGTTGAGTTATTATCTAGTCATTATTTTAATTTTGCTTATTTCGCATATATGTAAATATACGTATTATATATTTCGTTTGAGTCCTTTGTGATTAATGCAAGAAATGAGTGTTCTATTTGTGCTCTTAATCCTTTATTTACTTCTTTGTATTTGATATATATATATATATTTATATATGTATAATATTTAATATTAGATTCTCTATCAAGTATTAGTAACTCTTCAGCTTTATCTTAACTTCTACATGGTGTTTGATATTTGCAATCTTATTTTCGTCTTTATTACGTCTTTATGTGTCGGTTCTTAGTCTTCTTAACATTGTTTGATGTTGTATATATGTGTATACGTAGATACATATCTTTAATCATTATACGCTTCCATATTTTGTATTTTCATTCTATTATTTTATTTAGTTTATTTATTTTATTTTAGTTTACAAAATGTTCATTTGTCGATTTTCTTTACTCAATTATAATATATGTTGAATTTCTTCGAATATGTTTTTAAGAACTTGTATTTGTAGAACGGGCGTAGAAAGTATCACTTGATCGAAGTTGTACAATCCGATACGACGTTTGAACAAAATGAGAGCTTGAAATAAATCGAAGTTAATTTTTAGCGCTAATTAATTTGTTTTATTTCAAATAGTATAATGCATGATAAAGTAAATAACAATTTATTTTGTTGTATGCAAAAAACAATGTCGGTTTTCAATTTATATTCCATTTGTGTTTTATCGAAGAGGGAATATCTTTTACGGATAAGAAATAGTCGAAATAGTTTTCCCGACTGAAGATTGTTAATCTCGAGATTTCTTTTCAAGTTAAAGAATTTTCTCTAATTAATTGATTCGAAGCAAATTAAATTAATTTTAATAAATGGATCACAATTTAACTTTATATTCGATTCATCATTTTCACTATTACGACAACGTGTAAGCGATACAATACTAATTTTGGGCATTGTGGGGGTGTTAATCATTCCCCACACGTAATCGACTCCCGAATCCATTTAATAGAATCTTTGGTGATGCAGACCAAATTTTATCTTATAAAATAATTTTTTAAATTGTTTTTAAAAGACGTTTTTAGGTATTCGACCTACCTAACCCAAAGGTCGATATCGACTCACTTCCAATTTAATCCAAATTAATTCCAAATCACCAATTTTTCCAAAATTAAAGTCATAATTATTTTTTAAAATAATAATTTAATTTTTAAAAAAATGATTATGACATGTTCTAACCAGAAATGCAGACGATGATTAGGTACCTGTAGACTTAAAAATGACCTTGGAAGGAGAGCTGGAGCAATCAGAGCTTGCAGCTGTTCACTGATTTTTATATCTTGAATTTTTATCTGTCAAATACATCTTGCAGACCTGAGATCAGTTAAAACAAATATACAAGTATGTATATATGACCAGTTTTAACTTCCATTAGAATTTAGAAGAATCTTTAAGCATGGTCTGGAAACAGTACCAAAAGGCCTATTTATCAATATAAAGTTAATTTTTCTTTGCAAATAGAAGGGCATGGTCACAAAGGACTCACTATAGATGAGTTTATGCATATAAATGACTCACAAGAAGCTAGTGATGCACTGGGGATCACCTGAGCATTCCTTTTAACGACTAACTAGGCTCGTTTAAGGCTATTTTATCAAGCAAAATTGTTTTCTGGTAGTGCAAACCTGGGAAGATCTCACCGATTAATCGAACTTAAATGGCCATGAATTGCAGCCATGCATATTCTTCAATGTTCGACTAATGTCCCGGATTGAGAAATAGTTGCATGTGACAAACCTTAACCTTTTAGGAAGTAATGATTTTTGAAGTGGAAAATGGGAAGCTAACCTCTTCGAACTGAAGATAGATGTTTCGCACAGAAACAACATCAAACTTTGCAGAAACAACCAGTGTGGCACCTTCTTGTTCCTGTAAAGTAAAAGAAAGACAACATTTGTTGGTACTATATTTTTTACAACAATAATCAGTTGAATACTTGAATACCTTACTTGGAGTATAAAGGTGCAGGAAAACAAACTGCTTCAGGATCTGTATCTTACTCAAGTATATTAGCATTCAAGATAACAACGGTGGACATATTGAAATTTGAAAGTTGAAGTTTACCTCTAACAAATTCAGAACACTCCACCGAACAACATTTCTGATAACACCTCCACGGAGCTGATCCTGGCATTCGAATTTCTGAAAGATCTGCCCAACCTAACCCAATTTGACAAGCAAGGTATCAAAACAAATCTCTTTAGTTAACATTACATGAACTTTGTAACATCTGAGAACTAAACCTTATCCTAAAACATGAAAACCCTACTACCTAGGATTGAATTCAATCAATCTAAACGACAACTGCATTCTAAAACTAAAGGCAACACCTTTCAAAAAAAAAACTAAAGGCAAAGGAATCGGTGGTACCTGGAAAAAAGAAGCTTCGAAGAGAACGAGAACATCAGGGGCAGAAGTGTACTGAAGGCGCCAAGTTCCGTCCAACAGCGCCATGTCAATCGGTGCACCCATGTTGTATCCCTTTACGCTGAGCTACAAAATTTCACAGCACACCCAAAAAAGAAAATGGCTTCTACTTCAAAATTAGCACTATTTCCAGTTTGGGTTTTGGGGGGAAGAGATTATTTATACCAGAGCCTCCTCGATAATTGAACGTTGATCAGCAGTTGTAACAAGACTTCGTTGTGTGTCTTGAACAGCAAGGAGAAGATCATGTTTCTTGCTCTCTAGCTCAACCAAAGATACCTTGAACCCAGAAAAGCAAATCCCATCACTACCCCAAATTCGAAGAAAATTAAATAAAGAAATGTTCTGGAAAAGGATACAAGAATGCAAACCCTATTCCCGTAAGGAGCAACAGCAACTGTGCATAGAAACTTGTTGTAAAAAGACCGTTTCTTGTTGGTAACGAGTTTTGAGCTGAGAGGTCTTATCTCGTAGATACCTCTCTTTCCATGCGTCGGGTATATCGAAGCAGCAAATGCTAATTCCATAATGTTTCAGATATTGGGCGACAATGGGGATTAAGATTATTTCCCAAAACAACAGTTGATGAAATGAAGAAACCGAATCCAGTTAATAAAATGATAGAATTCTGAGTTCCATTTTTGTCAGCCTTAACTGTTGCTTATTTTGTTTATCTTACAGACTAATTACTGGCTTACAGTACTCCTTTGGATCCAATGGCTTCGGTTTTCTCTTTTATGGTATGTGATTATACAAAGTAACCCGCCGGAGATAACCCGACCCGAAATCGGGCTATTTAAACGAAGCCAAATCGAATATAGATATAACTCAGTTCGTCCAAAGTCAGTTCATTTACCCTTAATCATCTTCGCTTTATTGCTATTTTGGAACCTTTCTACTCGTTTTCTTAACTTAAAATATTCAGATTCTCTTAGAGTACTAAGTCTCCTGAACAGCTACTGCTCAGCAAAATCCAGCCCAATATTGGCATGGCACTGGCAGTTATCGTGTTTGGGATAAAACGTTTATGAAATTAATGGAAAAAACAAGAAAAAAAGAGCTCGATGTTTGCCTACTTTGTTACTAACGGAAGACAATGAGAACGATGGAAGTTCCATCCAAAATTCCCACGGCGAAACCGATGTTCCATGCTTTCTTCTTATATAAGATTCTTTTCTGGCATCAGGAGAACCACGTTTAAGCAACTGAATCTGATTCAATCATGGGATTCCAAGGAGATAAAGAAGCAGCTGCAGCTGCAAAGCACCTGCAATATCTCTTTTCAGGTACAACTCGCCCCTGGTCCAGGTTAGCTTAATAGGTCTAGTATGCTTCTGTTGTCCCGGCATGTTCAACGCCCTTTCCAGCATGGGAGGTGGCGGCCAAGTTGATACTACGGCCGCAAATAATGCTAACACGGCTCTGTACACGACCTTCGCGATCTCTGGAATCCTTAGTGGTAGTGTTTACAACATCTTTGGACCTAAGATTACCCTTGCCATGGGCTGATCCGCTTATGCCCTTTATGCTGGCTCCTTCCTCTACTGCAATCACTACCGAGACCATACTTTTGCTATCATTGCCGGTGCTGTTCTCAGCATCGGTGCAGGCCTTCTTTGGGACGGACAAGGTGCTATCATGACCTCCTATCCTACTGCTGGTCGTAAAGGCACTTATATTTCTCTCTTCTGGACAATTTTCAACTTGGGTGGACTCATACCTTTCATCCTGAACTACCACCGGGAAGACTCGGAAACCGTCAACGAAGGGACACATATTGCTTTCATGTGTATCATGTCAGTTGGTGCTCTCATCTCATTGGCAATTCTCTCCCCTGATCGAGTTGTCAGAGACGATGGTACTCATTGCACCAACATCAAATACTCGAATGTTGCTTGCCACCTAGGCCAACGAGATCCTTGAGCTCTTTCGTAACTGGAAGCTGCAACTCATCACCCCAGCTGCCTGGGCTAGCAACTTCTTCTACACCTACCACTTCAACAATGTCAACGGCTTGATGTTTAATCTGAGAACAAGAGGATTGAACAATGTGTTCTATTGGGGATCTCAAATGATCGGTTCAGTCGGAATAGGATACGTTTTAGATTCAGTTTCAAGAGCAGAAGAACAAGAGGCTTGGTTGGGGTAGGAATTGTCACCGTGCTCGGGACCACAATTTGGGCCGGTGGCCTTGCCAACCAGTTGAATTACTCTTTCGACAAGCCTCCCAAGCGGCTGGACTTCAAAAGATCCGGCAGTGATTTCACCAAACCGTTCGTATTGTACTTTTGCTATGGTTTATTGGATGCCATGTTTCAAAGTCGGTTTATTGGACGATTGGAGCATTAGCTGAAAACTCAGAGGTTCTCAGCAGGTAATGGCTAAAATAGTTAAATTATATATGACGCGCATATGATTGAAAGTCCAGAATAGAGATTCTCCACATAAAACTTGCAGATATGTAGGTTTCTACAAGGGAGTGCAGAGTGCAGGAGCAGCAGTTGCCTGGCAAGTGGACACCGTTGCTGAACCAACTGATTGTGAATTGGGGGCTGACCACTTTGAGCTATCCGTTGCTGGAGCTCCTCGTTTACAACTATAAAAAAAAATCTCGAAAATGGTGGAACAATGGACTTAGTTAAGAAGTATGACTAAAAAGTATTTTAAAAAATTAACTTTAAAGTTTAAATGTTTGATGTTGTTATTAAAATATAATTGTAAATAGATAAAATATTTATTTTAAATATAATATTATAAAATAAAATAAATAATTTAATTCGTTAATATTAAGATATATGAAATAAATTAATTTAAACTATAATAAAATATAAAAATGGTTTTCTTTTTTTAAAAAAATTGCAACGATAAACATAAAACACTTGATTTCAAAAAACTCATCTATTCTGAGGTGAGATCAAAACCTAAATAATATTTTCTTTTAATTAACCACAAAATTGATTTTATTATCAGAATTGAGAGAAATGCATATTTGTATAATGATAAATTTATAGTTCTATAAATGAAATAGTCAACTTTTATCGACATAAATATGTAGGGCTGTAAATGAGTTACTTGAGATTGATTCGATTAAAGCTCGATAAATACTCGATTTCAATAGACTCGACTCGAGTCCTTAACGAGATGAAACAAGCAACTTGATACTCGACTCGAAAAGCCCGCGAATAACTCGAAAATATAATATATTAAGATTTTATTTTTAAAAAATATATTAGTAATAAAATTAATATTTATGTTTTGATTTCTTTAAAATATAATATAAGTTTTTCATATATTTAAGGTTTAGGTTTAGTTTGAGGCTTCAATCGAGTTTAATTTAAAAAAAAATTATTTTGAGCTTTTTTGAACTTTAATTCATGGTTTTGAATTTGATTCAAGTTTAAAAACTATAAACTTACGAATTTTCGAATCAAACTCAACAATACTCGAGCTTAACTTGACTCGTTTACAACCCTACGTAAATATGTATTAATAGTATAGTGAAGGAAAGAAATAACTTATACCCGGAAAAATATAATTGATAGTTCAATAAGAAAACTAAATTATATATATTTAATTAATTTTAAATATGTTTATGTAAATTATATAATTTTTTAATTTCAATTTAAAAATATAAAAAAATTAGATATTAAAAATACATACGAATATAACCACTATAAATTTATAAAATATTAATATAAGTTAAAAATAAAATAATTTTATATTCAAAATGAATATTATAAAATATATTGTTTTATAATGATGCATACATAATTATTAATTTATTAATATTAAATAATTAAAGATAAAAATATAATTTCACTTTAAAATCAGTTTTCTCACCGTAAAACTAAAAACATTAAATTTTTTTGATCGGGAGAAAAAATATTCTCTCACCACAATTTTAATATAAAAGTAAATTGGGCTCTTTTTTTCATTACAGCCAACACAAATAAAATTTAGAGATTTAGGTAACATTGGTTTTTAATTAGGGATATATGGTATTTTCTACAGTGTAGAAGAAACTCGTCATCTCGAGGTGACGAGTTCTTTTTAAATATTATTAATTTTTTTTTCGTTAATATACTTAAAATTAAAATTGGAAAAAAAGTCGTTGGTACTCGTCACCTTGAGGTGACGAGTCTCTCTGAATAATACTCTGACAATGTTTTTGTCGTGATTTTTTATGTTTAATATTATAATTAAATAAGAAAGTCGTACTGCTGATATATGGAGAAAAAATAATGAAACATGAGAAACGCACATTAAGAAGTAATATTACAACACAATTAATACTTTACCTTAAGGACATAAATAAGATAAACCTTACGCACACACTAAACAGTAAATCAAATAGTAAATTCATAAACATTTGTTGCATTATTCTTTATTATGTTATACTCTTCGTAATCAGTAGACTCGTAATAAGTAATATTAATTTCTTCAATTCTCCATGCTTTTTCTTGTTGTCGTTCACGTACAAATTGGAACCATGCTTCTGGGTCTCCATCATCTATGTTTGTTGCTTTGTCATTTGTTTTAGTTGCTGGGATGTTTTAGCTGGCCATCTTTAACCAAACGAGCAAGGTCGAAATCATCGAACTCTACAAACAAATCAACATTAAACAAAGAATAGTTAAGTATGTCTCAATCATACTAGCAAGGTCAATATCATCGCTTAGATGAAACCTCATGCATGATAGTATAATTCTATAATATAACAAGGATATTCTTCTACTGCTTCCCAGTTGAACCCTTCTTTGTATACTGAACTTCAACTCGTATAGTTGATTTTTTTTGAAACACATGGTTATAGATTTGCAATCATAAAAAATAGTTGCACAAATAGTTGTCATTGTTGCAAAAGAACTCAAGATTTGGAAGTGAAAAACTGAGGTTGTTCTAGACCGGTAAAATAGGTTTCATCAGAAACTTATTTATAGGGAAAAAAGTTTGTGAACTGATAATTTTATGGCATGGTGCATTATATTAGATAGCTGTTGAAATGCATATTGTACCTGGTATGAAGTGGTATATCAATACTGAAATTTTTCCGAAAGGAGTTGTCATTTCACTGAAACGTTGTTGAAGATGATTGATGGGGCACTGAAAAGTTGTTGGAGAGTATTAATGACTTGTTTTAACATTTTCGGGCATGGTGCATTATTAGAGATAACATTTCATTGAAATGTTGTTGAAGATGATTGATGGGGCACTGAAAAGTTGCTAGCATTTTCTAGCATCTTGCATTATTAATGGCCCATTTTGCATTATTAAATTGTCTTATTTCATATGTATCTTCAACAAAAACCATTCTGAAACTATGGCTAACAAATTTTTCATTGTCGTTTACTCAAATGGCCAAGTGACCGAGAATGAGTTTGGTGTTATGTTTATGTCACATAAGCTTGCAAACATGATGTTCCCTGTCGATGTATCACATAAGCAAATGAAGAAAAAAATTGAGAGCAAACTTGGAGCTTTTATATTATGTTTGAGTTATCAACACCTAATTTTTAGAGAATCCCATCAAATATGGAGCAATCCAGCTTGACAAAGATGATGATGTAGGTATTATGGTTGGCCTGCATCAATATTTCAAATAATCAACTG